TTCAAAAGTACAACTTTACATAGTAAAAATATCAAATTTTTTTGTAGTTGTGCGTGTCATAGCAAAGTAACAAATGCGACATCGTATTTTCAGCAAAAGGTTATATATATGCCATCAACACAATTCGACACAGCCATTTTTCTTCATTGAGTTTTATGATGGTAAGGGACTCGCTTGTAGCATATATATTTATGGTAGCAGTTGTATGTGAGAGCAATTTTTTTCTCGATGGATGTATGTTACAGAGGATGGAAGAAAGTAGATATATAGCTGTAATCAATCATGAAGAATGAAAATATCGCGATAACATTTATATGGTCCATTTTCTTCTTTCCTATTGGATCATAGTGCCTTTCCTTTGTTTTCTTTCCTCTATCAGGCACATATATAGCAAAAAAGTATACCTCGCATACGGGTGGGCCCAATGAATATGCATCATGTCAACGGGCTTTATGCTATCATATTGTGTTTTCGTAGAACGCCAACTTTAAAGCAGTAAACCGACTACTTTTCTATGACTCCTGATCCAAGTAACACGGTACTGTATTTCATATCATATCTTTGCCATCCCATGTCATATATCATTAATAGTGTCATTACAAAACGATCTCTTTGGTGCATCGGACAGTATTAATGATATGTGGCCGATTTGCATATAATGTTTTTTTTATGACATTCCTTAGTATGCGAAACGTACTATTTTTGCTACTTGTATTCGTGAGAGAGACAACAGAGAAAAAAAGAGAGATGTACTATGGCCAGAAAAAAAGGAAAAAAAATTGTAAGAATAATTATTTTATATGTTTGTCTTTTTTCCTCACTGACAACACGTAGTTTCATCTTTTTTCTTTTTCCATCCTTTCCCATTAACCTCCGCTATATAAACGGGTATAAGCGATTAATAAATATATTTCAGATTGCGATAGTATTCGGAATACTTCTGATAAACAGAAACCATTTTGGATTATATGCTTTATATTCATTTGTCGAAGATTAGTATATTACAGTATTTGAAAAGAAGTTAGAAGAATCTAATTGTACGGTATGTTAAAATTATTACATTTCGTTCCATACCAAGAAATTTCAACAGTAGAAAGGCAAGATTTTGAAAGTTGAAGCAAATAGTTTTAAGAATGTAATCTAACACTTGATTAATTCGATTTTATATCTAAGTTGAACAGTTTCATTTGAAGTACATTTTTGCTCGATCATGTATATGTTTTTTAATTCATAATACATAGCAGAGATGTGCACCGTTCGGGCGGTCCATCGGCCGTCCCGTCTTGAGGAGTATAACTTATATGAGTGCGACCGCACCGCTCCTCAATTTTGCGAGGGAGACTGGTGTGAGGCGACCGTTCTCGTCTTATTGACTGCCCGAGCGATCCCCTGATCTTAATTTGACCGTTTTGTGAGGGAATATCTTCTGAAGTTGAAACTAACAAACCTACACTGAAATTAATATCGTGCAGCAATATTAATGATCTTTTTCTCTTAAATAATAAGGATAAGTAACAAAGCACTGACTTCGTACTCATATTTGATACAAATAACATTTTTAAATCCCACGTCAGATGGATGTTGATTCTCAAAACATGCTTTTCTTATTACTTCTAGCGTTACAAATATTACATACATAGATTGTTGACTTCAACTTTCTCTTTTTTCATTATAATTTTTCATAATAAGTTGTCTATTTTTTCTATTTCTAATATATATATAAATGGTTACAAGTGTATGATTTTCTCGGACAAAACTCACCATTTATAATTAATCAGAAATATAAAAGCCGGAAGAAAAATTTATTTTATAGTTTCTTCCCTCAAATATAGCAGTTTTATCATCGTCGCTTTTTATGAAACACGATCTGAAAGGAGTGTTGAAGTGTATAGGGTAGAAATTTTGCACCCCCCCCCCCCCCCCCCCCCTCCACACAGACTGTGACAGAGAACCCCGGGTACCCATCACAGACCGTGACAGAGAATTCAGGTACCCGTCACAGACCGTGACAGAGAATCCAGGTACCCATCACAGATCGTGACAGAGAATCCAGGCACCCGTCACAGACCGTGACAGAGAATCCCGGGTACCCATCACAGACCGTGACACAGGAATTGTAGTTGTAAAGCATGAAATATACGGTCAGCTACAAATGTGTCGTAAGGAAATGGAACAAAAGGATTTCCATTTAATTAGTAACAGTAGGTCCATCGTGTTTCACATTTTTAATCCCGCAAGGGATTGCGCTAACAGCTTTTCTTTATGGTATTCATGTTATGCTCATAGCTATCTGATAAAATTAGTTAAATCCCCTCCCATAATAGAAGCATCCCATGGACTTCTAAACTGCCCACTGTTCAAAGTTTTTGCAGGATGCTTCTATTATGGGGTGAGCCGCTAACATGACTTTCATAAAGAAATTTCGAAAAGTATATAAAAGAGACATTGTTTCAATCATTTTGGCTATCTATTTGTGATAACTTTAAATAATCTTACAAGACTGAGATTTAAGATAAATATACAAAAAAACATTATTCTATGCCATACACATACAAAAAAACATACTATTTCAAGTAATAAATTTAAAAAAAATAATGAGGTGAAAAAAATTCATGTACAAATACACATAATTATACTACTTCTTCCAAAATAAATTTAATGTTGTGGATGTAGTTGTGAGTTCCGGTGTTGGTGGGTCGGTGTGGATATTTCTCCTATTTTTACCTACACCCACAGTTACACCGCTAGCCATCCACACCCACATTTTCTCTATTGTTGGAATCATTGGCGAGCACGTTGTGAGGTAGGGATGTAACAGTGACGATGGCCACTGGTGTTACCGGCCCCAACGTACTACAATTAAAGCTATTCAGGTTGATCTGATTCCTATCAAAAGTGAAGCTGCTCATTCCATCATCAAGAAGCGCATCCTCCGTCGCTATCCATCTGACTACTATGATATATGATCGTATTTCACAAACTTCATAAGACGTTTCCATATAGTGACCACTTCACGAATACGCTATTGACTATAGTCATACGACAGCCAGCGTCAGTACTTTCATATAACTGAAATTTGCTAGCGTAAAGCTAACTGAATATGAAAGATACTTCTATAAATGACTTAGAAATGAGATATAAACAAGCAACCTTATGGCCAATAATGTCGGTGAGGACATCAGGAACCTACGGTGATGACTGGTTTCTTATATTTTACAGACTCGTTGAGGCTCAGAGTAACCAGTGATGTTTATCTAGTCATCATCATCGTAGGTTTTCGTGACCATATCGTTTCTATAACTGGCTTCGTAGTTACATTCATCTCGGAAAGAAAATTTAATCTGCTGTCCTGTCGTGCACTTAGTTAATTATATAGTTTAGACCATCACCATGAATCCTAACAATGCCGGTTAGGAGAGCGGGAACACGGTGAAGAACGGTTTCTAGTATTTTACAGACTTATTGCGGTTCAGGGTAACCACTAATGCCCCTATAGCAGCCATCACCGTAGGTTTTCATGATCCTATCGGCCCTATAACTAGCATGATCATCGCACTCATCTGGGATAAAATTTTTCATCTGCTGTCTTGTCATGCACTTATTTATGTAGTTTCGAACGTCACTATGAACCCGAAAAATGCTGGCTAGGAGAGCAGGAATCTATGGTGATTGGTGGTTTCTTACATTTTACTGACTCATTGAGGCTCATAGTGACCAGTAATGCGAATATACTAATTATCACCGTAGTTTTTCGTGACGCTATCGGGCCTATAACTGGCTTCGTAGGCACACTCATCTGTACTAAAACTTTTTATCTGCCGTCTCCTCGTGCATTCAGTTATATTTTTTTAGACATCACCATGAACCCTAACAATGCTCGTGATGAGAACGATAAACTACGGTGAGGGTCAGTTCATAGAATTTTACGACCTAGTCGAGGCTCAAAATAACCTGTGATGTCAGTGTAGCAGCCGTCCATACATGTCAAACCTGAAACTTGAATTCAATTATAGAAAAATTGAAGTGCAATTATTCAGTTATTCAATTATTCGTGTTTCCAGGTTGTGGGTGCGGAGAAGAGAGTTCAGTGGGTAGGAAAAACCAAGAATTGGATAATTGAATAATTGAAGTTCAAGTATTCAATAATTGAATTCAACTTTCAGGTTTGACACTACTGAAAAACGCATGCTTTGTATGTAAATAATGCAATTCTTGATAAGAAGAAATATAATAAAGCGTAGTCCTATCAGTGCTCACTCTTCTTCTATCCGAAAATTGTCACAAAAACCAGTTGAACATATGACAGCATTAGTAAGGGAAAATGTCATGCCTGATTTATTCCCCTACATAAAAGAATTAATCCGTCAGTTTTGCCTTCTCTCTTTTTTGTTTGTTGTAGATCATTAACAACGTGTTGCACAAACAAATGAACGATTGCTACTTACCAATAGGTTTCAATTTTTTTATCTCGTAGAGAGTTGATGAAATATACTTCATTCGCTAGAATTTAAATAACTGAGTACATGAAAACTTTTCCGAGAGCTATCTGTTCAAGCTCTCATCTACTTTTTTAAAACTACTCTCCAACAAGTACCACCTTTCTGTAGGTCGTTGTGCTTTTCGTTTTTGTCGATGCACATACATATAAACATGTGCGTCGAAAGAAAACAAAGACAAGAGAAAACACATAGGTGTGATTCTTGTTGAAGCATTTCCTTAAACAATTTTGTCGAGCACTTTTGTATACTGCTCTCTGAAAATTTATCACGTACTTAGTTGTTTGTACTCTTTCTAATCAATTGACATAAATGATTTTTACAGGAACGATCTTCATATGTGGTCTTATGGGGGCGCTTTTGAGCGGTGTATTACTATATATCAATCAAACACCAAGAGCGTGCGATTTAACCAGGGTCGCAAACCGTGAAATAAATAATTACTATGGTCTTGTAAATGTTGACAACCCATTATTGCACTACAATTCAGAACAATCTGGCAATATGAATAGTGAATGTCGTCTCTATTATGACTTTATGCACTTATTTCCATTCGGCAATCTTCCATTATCAAAATCAATGATAGTTCAAGCACTTCGAGGCGCTGGAAAAACTCAAATCAGACAATGCATTATTGCAAAACTTCCACGAAATAATCAAATCCTTATTAGGATATATGGTGTGGATATTAATACTTATTTAGATAATTTTGTTGAAAATGTTGACATTTCTTCGGATCATCCCTATGATAAAATTCGCAAATATTGGACTAAGGAATATTTCTTACAGGTCATTTTGACCGAAATCGCTACACGTTTCGTCAATGAGGAGACTTTGACAATTTTAGAAGAGAAGAAATCTTTAACAACATTACAAATTCGCAAGGAAGTAGCAATTTTATTAAGTTATTATTATACGAAAGACTCTGGTATTTTATGCAAAATCGTCAACAAATTACTTCATGAAATAACAAACTGTGGCTTCACATGTCGGCAACTTAATTGTAATGATTTTCAATTTACACAACGTGATCAAGAATTATTCATTTCATTAACACAAAAACATCGTAAAATTAAAGTTAAACTTCATAATCAAGCTGTTGATGGTTGTTTAAGACTACTAGTAGCAATGCATAAGAGAACCGAATATTCACCGTTAGTTATTTTGGAACGTTCTTATCGTGAACAACTTACTTTATTAATTAACTTCTTAAGCGCATTGGATTTTACTACAACAGTTATAGTAGATTCATTAGATGAAAGTAAATTTTTTTTTAATCAGGCTGATTCAAGTTTAAGTACTTTACAAACTTTTGTTGATTCTATAACAAATGATGAAATCTTAAACTTAGCATTAGGTAATTGGGGTGAAGGTAATGGACAAAAGAATACGTTTCGATTCTACGTATTTATTCCTAAAAAGTCAAATTTTTCACTGAATATTTCATGGAGTCGTCCCGATAAAATACCAATTATTAACGTAAAATGGGATGAATTACAATTGATTAACTATGCTGATTATATATTTGATTATTTACGAACGCAAGCAAAAGGTCAATGTAAATCTTTGCCTGATGTATGCTCTTTACTAGGTGGAAAAGATTTATGTATTACAACAATGAAAGAATTACGACATCCTCGTGATTTTCACATATTTTTCGATGTTTTAAGTCAACAAATGAATCGGGTTTGTACGCAACGTGATTCACCATTCAATGCAACATCAGACGATCTGAAAATTGCATTGAAAGAAACAGCATCAAGAGTTCTTAGAGAATAAACTTACGGATGTTTTTTTTACACAGAATCATTATGTCATGAAAATCTTTAGAGCTTACGTAGCTTTAAGTATTCACTTTAGTCGTCCTTTTCTATTTAAAATAAACACGTATTTCACAGCTAAAATTTATCCATTTATTATTTTTTCAGCTACCTTTCATATTATAGCTCTGGTGGGTGCGTGGCTGTGGAAGTGAAATTTTCGATGAAGAGGCCGACATCATCCACACGCACACCCGATGATAAAGAAAAGTGTTCCGAAATACCTCAAATAGAAGAATTTTCATGTAAATAACAATATCATCATCATCATCGTCGTTTTTCACATTTTTATTTCATGGAGATTATGCCAACAACTTTTAAACCCTAACCAATAACATTAATGGATCAAAATCTATTGGCTATAGATTTTGAACTTGAATATGAGTGGGTTAAGCCTTTAAAACAAAATGTTTGGTTTTGTTTGACAATTTAAAAATACATCAGAGAAGCCAACCATTATGGAGTAGAATAAGAAACAAAGTTAACATTTCGTTTGAATGGAGATTTCATTATATTTTTGTCTTCTGTTGTCGATACTGTAATCCGAAAGTTCTATAAACTAATGTCGAATTTTTTTTAAAAGTACTAACGATCCTTTTTTGAATGACTTTTGATCACTTTGAGTTATCGAGCTGCGGTTTTCGCCATTCAAAAGAGCAAACTGGTGGCTACAAAATCCTTCTGATTTTGAATGGTCAAGCAATTGACTAACCAGGAGAACTTTTGCTGAACATTTTGTGAGCTGCGTCGTGCTACTAATTTTCGTTCAATTTGAACTTTCAATGATACCAATCGATAGAGAAAATTGTTCTCTTTCGAGCTAGGCAAGGCTGAGCTCGCCATGTCGGTTTGTTCTGGAGTTATAAGCATTTTCCCAAAAGCTCCG